ATTTGGTAGAGGGAAGTGAAGGGAGGGGAGAGGAGGGGATTTGGGGATACAGGAAGGATAGTAGAATGAAGCAGACTTTTTTTTTTACTTTATGTATATATTATGCTTGCATGACCAATATGATTCTATAACATGTACACTCAGAAAAATGTGAAATTATACCCCATCTATGTATGATATATCAAAGTTTATAAATGCATTCTGTAATGTATAACTCATAAAAACAAATAAATAAAAAAGAAAAAGAAAATCATAAAGCAAAATTCCAGAAAGTAAAAAAGCCTAGGCAACTGGACACAACTGTGTATGGCAACTTGGTATGCAGTGTCCACAAAGGTAGGGTCATAACAGGATATGTATATACTGCGCATAGTCTCTCATGGGCCTCACGGTAGCAGTAGGTGGTAGACATAAAACAGGAGTGAAGGCAAGATGGGGAACAAAAGAGAAGGGAATAGATTTGGGTTCTACCAGAAGCTAGCAGTCATCATTTCTGTCACAATTATCCTAGTCACCATTTCCACATCTGCACAATTTTGCTCTCTTCAATGTTCCCAATTTCTTTTAAATCAAATGAGTTATTTTGACTTCAATTAAAGAAATTTATATGCAGCATGTCAAATCTTTTAAAATTATAGCTTTGAATGTAGCTGACCCAAAGACAAAGATGTTTTATTTTGCCATTTAGAGAATATTCCTGTTCAAATTTAACCTGACTTCTGAATTTTAGTTAGTGACCTGGGTTATTGAATTTCCTTTGAGATGACTTTGGAATTAATGGAGCAAATTATATATATATATATATTCTAGTGCTGAGGATTGAGCCTGGGGCCTCATACATACTAGCAAACACTTCTAGTACTGAGCTACTCTTGCAGCCCAAGAGACACTTTTAAATGTTGTTAATTTGGTAATTTGAACTTTTAGTTTCCTAATGTACCTAAGTATGACATTAGTTTAATTTATGCACTTTAAAAAACTTAACAACTTAGGACATATTTAAGAATAGATTTTAATCTGTTACAATCCTATCTTGTTAGGTTTATAGTAAAGTAAGGACTAGTCAATTTTGTAAGTCAGTCTCCTAAAACCCTCCCAAAATTAGAAAAAGAAATATTTCTATATGAAGTGTGTATGTGTTGTGTGTGTATGTGAAACAACTTTAACTTTAAATATTATAAAATTGTTCAGTAAGAGTATGGTTCACTTTGGGCTACTATACCCAACTATTTCTAGAAAAGGAGGTTTTTGGTTTTCAAAGTTACAGAAACTGTAGATTACTTAACTAAACAGAACTTCTAGAATGGCTCTTAGCGTCTCTTCCCTGTATTTCACAGCACTCAAGAAGAGCTCTTCTCTGCTACTGTTCAAGCCTCATCTTTTAACCACTTTAAAAATTTTGAAAACTGTCTGTTAATTTTCCCTCTCACAAATCTCATTAATGTTATTTAAAGACCTTAAGTATTCTTTATATTCCTAGAAAATTTCAATAAATGACTGAAATTTCCTTTCTCTTATCATCTTGAAGCTCTTCAACATCTGCACTAATGACCCAGATCCTGCTTACCCATCTCCAATGTCTCTTAACTTTATTTCTCTTCAGTTGACTATAGAGATGGCCATACATTGTCATTTGCAACTACTCACCTCTAAATATTTGAACTCTGAAATTCTCCTTTTGGATCACAGTTTTGCTTTGAGTCATTAAGCTGTCATTCAACCACTTAGCAAAGGTTTGTTGAGTGCTTGTCACATGTTGAACTGTACAGTGCTCCCTTTTAACAGCCTTCCATTCCTCTACCTTATAACTTCTAGCTTCTTGATATTCTGATTTTTACTTTATGTGCTTTGCTAGTTTATTTTTTATTGATTTATCAATTTATTTGACAAAGATTAGAAACACTAAATGAATATAAGGATATATTAATAAAAATTACCAGAATTTAAACATGCACAGAAATAGAAAAAAGGAATTAAAAGTGAAGAACACAAAGAAAAATAAAACACAGGATTTAAAACCTGGAGTACTGCAGCATATTGTATGGCAGTGACATAAATTATTATCAAAGTGATTATCAAAAATCAAAAGATAATAAGTATTGGTGAATGTGGATTAATGATAACACTAAAACACTGTTTCAAATGTAAATGGCACAGTCATTATGGAAAACAGCATAGAAATTCCTGAAAAATTAGAACTAGAGCTACCATTGGATCCAGCAAATCTATGTAAGGTCAGGCAGCAGCGACCAAAAGGAGGCAGATTTTAAAAGGCCACTGAACGAGGCTTTATTGAGATTTCGCTCCCAGGCAGAACTCTTAGACTGACAGAGTGGGTCTAAGTAGAAGCGCTGGGGGATCCACGGGACTGGAATTCTTATTGGGCTTAGAGTCCCTTGGCCTACTGGAGTTGGTGATGGTGGTGGTGGTGGGAGCTGGCTAAGATCCAGGATTGGCCTGGGGACCCCGCTGATTGACAGGCGGTTCTGTCAGTGCTTGATCCGTGTTTCTTTCGCGCTCTTGTGTTGCTTGGTGCTTTGTTCCTCAGCCACCTCCACCTAACCATCTACTTCTGTGTATTTATTTGTTTATTTTAATTAATTTATTTAGTATAATTAGGTATATATGAAGGCAGAATGCATTTTTATTCATTGTACACAATTGCAGCACAACTTTTCATTTCTCTGGTTGTACACCATGTTGCATTGCATCATATGTGCAGTCATACATGTACCTAGAAGAATGATGTTCATCTCATTCCACCATCTTTCCTGCCCCCATGACCCTTTCCCACTCACTCCTCTTTGTCCAATCAAAGTTCCTCCATTTTTTTCCCATGCCCCCCTCGCCCCATGATGGATCAACATCCACTTATCAGAGAGAACATTCGGTCTTTGGTTTTATGGGATTGACTTACTTTTCTTTGCATGATATTCTCCAACTCCATCCATTTACCTGCAAATGCCATAATTTTATTCTCTCTTAATGCTGAGTAATAGTCCATTGTGTATACATACCACAGTTTCTTTATCCATTCATCTATTGAAGGGCATCCAGATTGGTTCCACGGTTTTATTTGCTTTCCTATTTTATTGTAGATCGTTTCAGTTGCTCTTTAACCAGCACCTTTAATCCTTTTTTTTTTTACTTGAACCTCACTTCATTTGACCTCTTCTAGTATTGTGTGTCTTCTCTATGGATTTGGTACAATTCAATAGTGGTTTATGGGATCTATTCTGCCAAGAACAGTTGGAGATTCACAGATGAATAAGTTATAGTCTTTTCCCTCAAGCATCTGAGCCCAGAAGAGAGGACACATAAGTACTTAATTGCAGTATAGGGTGTGGACATAGAACATATGATCTTAGGAGGAAAGCAAAAGCTTCCTAGAGGAGGAGAAATCCATGTTAGTTTTTAATTTTTTTAAAACCGGAATTTATCAAGCAGGCAAAATGTACAATAGGCTCAATATTCAAGATTGATGGAGCAATATGTATAATGATGTGGAATGGTAGACCTGCAAGATTAAAGGAAATTATAGAAAATTTGGTATTTGAGTATAAAGTTTGAAAGGCAATTCATGGAAGATAAGCATAAAAGATTGTATAGGCAGTCACTGGAGATCTCACTTGTAATATGTAGCTCTGTTGTAGCGTTTATCATACTGTATTCCACAGTGATTTTTCATCTTCATGTCACTACCAAGTGGGCTCCTTCAGGGCAGGCATTGGCCCTTATTCATTAATCTTTGCACACATAACACCTAAGCAAGCGTCTAAAACATAGTAGATACTCAGTAAATGCTTGTGTTATTAGTGTGGATTCTTTAAAACTTTTTAAAGATTTTTAAAATTCGGGCTCAGTGGCACACAACTGTAATCCCAGCTACTTGGGAGGTTGACACAAGAGGATTGCAAGCTCAAAGGGAGCCTGTGCAAAATAATATAAAAGGGTTTGGGATGTTGCTTAGAGGCAGAACACTCCTGGGTTCATTCCCTGCTATCACATATATATATTTCTGAGTTGAGTCTAGACATTGTAAGAACCTTTTTAAATATATTTTTTTAGTTGTTCATGGACTTTTCTTATTTATTTATTTATTTATTTATTTATTTATATGTGGTGTTGAGAATTGAACCCAGTGCCTTACACATGCTAGGCAAGCACTCTACCACTGAGCCACAACCCCAGCCCCAAATAGACATTCTTAGACACTCTATTTTTAAACCTGATGTTCAGGATATGGCATATCTAGTACATAAAAATTTTACAAATAAAATGTTATCAGATTTCTTCTCAGATATAAATATTATTGATAGACAAGACCAATGGGTAGAACAGAATAGATGTCTATGGCAGGTTGGTTAAAAGTTCTTTGTATATCTTCCCATTTACTCATATCCCCTTCCTGTACCTCCTCCAGAACGTAGGACACCACATGAAGATATTTTATGACAAAAGGGATAATTAGAAGACTCATAAAACTCTGTAGCTCAGTTAGGGAGGGCAAGAGGTCTGCTTGGTATCTAGAGTAGAAGACTAATAATAGTCAAAATTTCAGTTCTCATGTATTCTAGCCTCTTGTTTCCAAACAGGCAATTTGGAGCTGGGGCAGAATGTCTGCCTTGCATACACAAGGCCCTGGTTTGATGTCTAGTTCTACCAGCAAAAGAGCAGAGGGAGGCATTTCAAATAACTGGGGAAAGTAGAAAATGTTGTGAATATAAAGGAAAAAAAGGAGTCTTATAACCTTGACTCAATCATTATAGTACCTAGTACATCTTCAGAATTTTGTCAGCTAAGAGAAATTGGCAAATTGCTAACCACCAATGAAAAAATAGAAAAAGAAAACCCAAATTCTTTTGGGTAACACATTGCTTTGTCTTTAGTAGTCTAAAGCTTGTTTGCCTTCTCTTGCTGCTTTTTAAACGCCTTTGCTGAGGATGCTAACCACTGTGGTTTCTCCCAATGTCCTCTCATTCCTTCCCATCCTCCCTTAGTATATTTTTGCCACATATGTTGCTCCATCGGCCACTCTTGACATTGGACTGCAGCAGGAAAAGAAGAGAGACATTTACAAGAAAATACAACCACCATTTGAAGACCTCTTTGACACAGCAGAAGAGTACATCCTCCTCCTCCTTCTGGAGCCCTGGACCAAGATGATGAGGTCAGACCAAGCTACTTACAGAGAGGTATTGTGGCTCTGATAAAGGTGTGCACCTTTCCACTTTACTACACAACTAATGATAAGCAATACCGCTAAATCACAAGAGAAAAACTGAAAAAAAGAACTCACATGGGCCCCAGATATAGAGTTAAGATTTGTGTGGGTCAAAAGTTTATTTATTTATAAAAATAAAATAAAAATATTTTATGCCATTTCCCTATTGTCTCCTAACAAACATACTAAAATCTCTGTCATTTTTTGTTCCCTGTACAAATACGTCAGTAGAGAGAAATTTGAGTTCTGATTTTCTGTGAAGCAGCAAAAGATCCATGGTAACATACTAGTTAGTATATACTAATGTCCTATCTTGTTATGTCTCAGCAGTGGCCTTAATTCTGATTAAGGGAAAAAGCCTGTTTCATTTAATGCTCGATGAGTTATATGAATATTATACCCATGGAAAGTATAAATGTTTCCTATGTATTGTGAAAAGCAGGTCCTTTGACTTCAGTGCTTCTATTTTAAAGCATCCCCAGATATTTAGGTCAGAGTGTTTTGTTAGATAAAAATTTCAACACACTTGTTTTTCATTCCAAAAAAAAAAAGACTATTTTAATTTTTGGTACTTGAACATTTTCATTTTTCTTATTGGTGAGTGGAGGAATTTTCTTTAAATATTTATTTTGAATCACAAATTAAAACCATGCTTAGATATTCTTATGTTAAGTTAATCATGCATTGTATGCTTGAGGTGATTTAAGGTGGAACTCTGCTTTTTACTGCTATTCTTTATTCATATTCACTCAGCAACTTGTTAGATAGTCATGTCTTCAATCAGGAGGGGTAAGTTAGGTGATGATGGTAAAATTAATACCAAAGCACCTTGAATGGCACTATACTGGACAAGCTTGAGATTTACTAAATTCAACAACGAAAATAGATTTTCACTCCTGATTTCTCTCTTTTTTTCACTCCTGATTTTTCTCTGAAAAATTAGCATAACATCTTTTCTACTACAGAAATATATATACTAACTAGGAAAATCAGAAGATTATAAAATCTAAAAAACTTCTCTCTAATCAATTTTTAAAATCTTTACTCTATTGGGTAGAGGAAGGGTATTGTATAGGATATCCTGCAGTGGTAAAAAAGATTTGGAATATAACTAACTTCCCCAAACCCCAAATCTTCGACATTAGCAATGATACAGGACAAATTACATACTGGTTTTTATTTATATATATATTTGTAGTTGTAGATGGACAGAATACCTTTATTTTATTTGTTTGTTTTTATGTGGTTCTGAGGATCAAACCCAGTGCCTCACATGTGCTAGGCAAGCACTCTGCCACTGAGCTATAGCCCCAGCCCTACATACTATTTTTAATATATGGAAAAAATGAATCTCTTTCTTAGTCCTAGAAACTTTCTTAAATTTAGTCCAGAGAACTTCTCTAAAAGCCCAGATGACTCTTATTATGTAGACTCTTTCCTAAAAAGGATACTCAAGCAGACTACCCAAGCTTTCTATTAAATTCAGAAAGTTCTCTAGCAACTAGTTAGCCAAACCAGGTTTTCCCTGCAATAGAGACACAGTGATCTTGTTCTCCTGACTACATAGAATCGTGCTCTGAATACTGAGACCTGCTATGAAAATTAATTTAATGATTGTCTTATCTTTTGCTACAACAATAAAGCCTTTGCTCCCAGACTAATAACAATATGGAGTCCAGTCATTTCTTGTTCTCTTGTGAATTATTTGGTTCCTAAAGCTAGCAGTGTCTGCCTTCATGACTATTATCCTGTTACATTGAATATAAACTCGAAATGTGACCAACATATTTACATTGTTTGTTAGTCTACATGGGGTGTTCAAAAAGGAGGCATGATCATCAACAGCCTTATATCATTACATAAAAATGTCTGCAGTTTTTATTGCATGCATGTGAAGTGTGATTTTGCTGTAGCTAATATTTTTAACTATGTTAATCTTCCACTTTTGCCTCCAAAATAACTTGCTTTGTTGGCACTCATCCTTGTTTTTTAGCTCACTGTTTTTGGAAATTGAGCATTGTGCTCCACACTCTTTCATAATGTACATTCTGTTGATGTTACAAGCTTTGTAATTATTATTTTTTTAGGTGGAACTGGTGGAAGAAACTCGGCAGCTAGACTCTTCATGCTTCCGAAAGCTACGGGCTTTGCATAAAGAGACCCTTCACAAGAAAGACGAGGTAAGATAACTCTCTACATAGAAAAACTAGCCTTTTATCCTTGAGAGGGTTACTTTATATGTTGGTGGCTAGATCTTACCTTGAGGAGATCATGTACTGATAAAATGAGGACAGGCCACATCATTTTCCTGCTGGTTTTTTTGTTTGTTTGTTTGCCTAGCACATTGCATTTTACAGGTATCACATTATATTTAACAAAAGAGCCAGAAAAACAAAGCAGATAAAGTAGAATAGGGAGACAAGCCATTTGTTTGACTTAGCTAAGACTGGAAACTTGAGCTTTTAAGCGACATTACAGTACTTTGAAGTATATTGTTTTTTTTTTTGTATTTGCTCAACGTAAGAAATGGTAGTGTGACAGCAATAGACAAACAACAAAGAAAAAATATGAAAAGGAATTGGGGAAATTGGTTAAAAATGTCATAGAATTGACTAGGGTATTAAAGTGTTATTTTACCTTATAAATATGCAACTTTTGCATTGGCTAAATAAACCATGATAGATCCACACAATCATAAATTTAAATGTGTGCATCTACATAGAAATGATACTTAATTGACCTAGAAAAGGTCAAGGACATATTATAATATTAAAATGTATGGATCAAAAACAATGGTATGGACTGATCCTATTGATGTAAAATCATATATGCATTTCTACATGTATACATGCATACATGCAAAAAGAGATGTCTGGAAAGATATTCACCAAAATGTTAACAATAGTTTTGAGTGGTGATTTTTCACTTTCTTCTCTGTATCTACCTACAATTTTCATTCTTATACAATAAAGTTTTACAAAAACAAAAAGTTATTTTAAAATGTAAACTTTATAATAGTTGCTTTAGTAAATTAGAAGTTCTCTATTTGAGACATTACTGTTTATTATTTTTCTATGCTGAAAAATTTTATTTCTTGAGTTTAAGCAATGGAAGTCAATAATGAAAATGACAATACTGAAACAATAAAAAATCGAAATTATCTGAAGAATAACTGTACAGTTTATATATATGTGTCAACTGCCTCTGTGTGTTAAATTTCTTTATTGGCTTTCTAATAAAGCATTCCTCTGTGGTTGTTTAAATCCCTCCATCCCAATTCTCAAAGATGAAAAATTGTTTTAACAAATTTTCATCTTTGTTTGTAGGAAGAATCCCAGTTTGGCATCTTTCATGTTCTGAGTATTTTCAAACATTTTTATCTAAACATTTTATCTAAATGTTTTATCAAACATTTTTATTCAGCTCTGCATTCAGTTATGATACTTGATAACTTTTTCCTTAAAGTGCTTCTCTTAGGACAGAAAATACACTCACAAATCCTTTTGGAGACTTGTTTCATATAGGTGATAATTTGCTGTAACCAGTAGAGCCCCAAGTACTTTTTTATGTACTAAGAAAAAAAAACAAACAAACAAACAACAAAAAACACCCCTCAAACCAAAATAAACACCTGTTGTTCCCAACAGCCAGAGTGGTTTTTGTAAACATTTTCTCATGGTTGCCTCTAGTCCTCTGATTTTTATGAAAGAAATAAAATGTCCCCAGTTCTCTTTAATAAAATTTTACACATATAAACTAAGAACAAAGAACTGTTTTGACATTGTAGAGTTCTAAGAAAGAGAGGCTCAAATTAAACAAATAGTAAGTGCCACTGCATATATGGCCCCCCAAAATTCCACCAGAAAACTTCTAGAACTCATAAATGAATTCAGCAAAGTAGCAGGATATAAAATTAACACACATAAATTAGATTTGTTCCTATATATTAGTGATGAATCTACTGAAAGAGAAATTAGGAAAACTGCCCCATTCACAATAGCCTCAAAAAAAAAAAAGAAAAGAAAAGAAAAAACAACTTAGGAATCAAACCTTAGAAGATGGAAAGATCTCCCATGCTCTTAGATAGGCAGAATTAGTATTGTCAAATTTACCAAAAGCATTATACAGATTTAATGCAATTCCTATTAAAATCCCAATGACATTCTTCATAGAACTAGGAAATGCAATCATGAAATTCAGTTGGAAAAATAAGGGACCTAGAAGACTGATTACTATCTTGTGAAGTATACATAAAAATCCATAAAGTTGTCACATTTTAAAGTTTTATTTTAAACTTCATGAACTAAAAATTGTTAACACTTTCCATAATCCTTCTACAGAAAGAGAGTTAATTCTTTAAATATTAGTAATTTATCTCATGGTCAAACACTTTCAATAGCACATATGAAGATAATTAATTATGTAAGTAATTATATGAAGAAGGAATTTTCGAAGAATAAGGCTGTCTCTTTGCACTTTATAGCTTGTAAACTATCCACAAAACAACAGATGTCTTAAAATTACCTAAAAATGTAACTTTTATAGGAAGGTGATTACATTAGAAGGATGCACTATTAGACAAGTATCTTTTATTGCTTTGTAACTTTTAAAAATTGTGTTATAGAAGAGTGTTTTATGTTCATGATGTATTGTTTAGAAAAAGAACCAAGTTACAACCTTCATTTTTGTTTGTTTGTTTGTTTGTGGTGCTGGGGATTGAGCCCAGGGCCTAGTGCATGCAAGGCAAGCACTGTACCAACTGAGCTGTATCCCCAGCCCACAACCTTCATTTTTAATAAACTACATGTAATATACAAAAAAGACTGGAATGATACAAAAGCATATTAATGGTGGCTATCTCTAATGTTATTACAATTGGTGATTTTTTTTCTTTTTACTCCAAAAGACATTACTTCTATACCAAGAAAGTATAATAAAATTAATATTTTAAAATAAGTGCTTTGTATATAGTGAATGTTTACTAAATATTCATATTAAGAAAAGAATGGAGTAAAAAGGAACAGAATAAGAATCTGAATCACCTAGATACTTTATCTACTTCTACCACTACTAAAAAGCCTCGGCTTAATTGTTGATTTTTCTTTCAATTTCTCCAATGAAAATTGCCAATAGTTTGTTGCATTTAAGAGATTTTTATGCAAAGTATTATGTCACTAGGGCACCACTGGTGAAACTGGAACTAGTGTTTTATCACTCTCTAATGTCTATAAAGAAACAGAATATTGGAATAATGTTCCTGAAGAATACAAGCATTTTCGTTTTAATGATCTGCTGAACAACAAACTGGAGTTTGAACATTTTCGTCAGTTTCTTGAGGCTCATTCTTCAAGGTGAGGAACCAGCACCATTTTTAAATGTATTCCTTACTTAACACATCATTTTTCTTAGCCACTGGTTTTGATTCAACATATTATAATAGTGCTAGATTTTTACCCATGTCACTAAAGACTGTTAAGCATAATTATCTGAAATTTGTATGGATTACTTTTTTGTTGGAATGCATTTTATTGTATCAAACTCCAAAATGTTATTTTAAGTGATTACACAATATTTATACTTTCAGCATTGCTTAACTTAAAACACCACTAGTACCTTCTACTTTTTCTTTTCTGCTGTTTATTTTGCATTTCTCTAGACAAGTACTTCAATTACAATTTCTGGAAAGTATTTCTTTTACATTTTTACATTTCACTAAGTTTCTTGTTTATTTTGATATCAGGGATTGAACCCAGGGGTGCTTAACCACTGAGCCACATGCCAGCCATTTTATTTTTTATTTTGAGACAGGGTTTCACTAAGTTGCTTAATGTCTTACTAAATTGCTGAGGCTAGCTTTGAACTTGTGATCCTCCTGCCTCAGCCTCCCAAACTCCTAGGATTATGGGTGTGTGCCACCATGCCCAGCTAGCTATTTAAATTACTAGACTATTTTACAATTTATTAATGGAAATAATGGGAATGGAAAAAACAAGTCTTTGGGAGTAAAAGAGAAAAGAAATTCTAAAATTAAGCAGCTTTGACAAAACTATCTTGCTGTTAGTTCCCTGAGATACAAATCTGGGACATATTAGCAAAAGTGCTTGGGTATCTCAATAAGTACAACTATATAATATATAAAGGAAACATTGTGGTTTTGAACAGAATCTTGGAAACTTATAACATTTACCTGTAATAAAATGAAGTATTGATCATATTGTTTTCTCTCAAGTTAATAGAAACTGGGTGCCAAATTTCACTCTATAGAGTTGCCCTTCATTGTGCGTGAAGTTTTTTAAATTTGGCCTTCTGTCAAATGGACATGTCGTATACAGACATTTCTCCAAATTTGAAATTGATGATCCTATTCCATCATTCGTGGAAGACCCCATCACTATTGATGAGCGGTTTTTTTTTCTGGTCCCAGTATTCCTTTTCATCACTCATTTGTTTAACCAGGATTAGGATTATAATAGTCAAGATAACTGCATAGGAAGGCAAGAGGTGACAGTGTGCTCATCAGTTCCATGGTCTAGTCCATTGTGCTCATTAGCCAAGACAGCCACTTTCTGAATCTGTCAAAACAGCAACTTGTTTAGTGTTTAGTAGAATTTAGAGAAATAAACAAGAAAGGCTCTATTTTTCTTTGTTTTCATTTTAGCATGGATCTTATGTGCTGGATAGACATTGAGCAGTTCCGAAGAATAACTTACAGTGATCTAAATCAAAGGGAGGCAAAATCTGTATACATTAAAAAGAAGTACCTTAATAAAAAGTATTTCTTTGGACCCAACAGCCCAGCTACTCCATATCAGCAAAACCAGGTATCAGCATGTAAATCTGTTTTTTTATTTCAAGTATGAAAAACAGTCATTTATTTCTTTTTGCCAACAACCTGAAAGTCTGTTTTTCCTTTTGTTTTGCTTTTATGGCATATGCTAAACACTTTTGGTATCTTATTTATTTAGGTATTTACAATTCTATACATTAATGCCTTTAAAATTCATTCAAGTACATACTACAAGAATATGTTACTAAAAGTAATTTACAGGTTGAAAAGAACTTGTATTCATGTAGGTCTATATTAAGGACATTGCTCAGAAAATTAGGGATACAATTACAGCTTTATACCTATTGTACTTGAATTTCTCCTTCATTCATTCATTCATCAAATATGAGTGCCTTTGATATGCCAGACTGTGCTGGGTGCTCAGGACAAAAAGGAGAACAAGATGGACAAGTTCCCTGCATCTCTCAACATTCAAGAAGACAGCCATTGTCAACCATTAAACTAATCTCTCTTTCCTCTTAATTGTTATTATTCCAATCATAATTGATCTTTGAAAATTCTGTTTACAGTTGTCCCCAGAAACCATTTTCATTGATTAAGAACATAGGTTTGACCATTTTGTTATACCAGAGTCCTATAGATTTAGTCACAACTCATTAATAACAATAGCGTTATTAGACTTACAGCAAACACACACCTTAGATTGGGATTCAGCAATGGGTATGAATGCTCAGTGATCTAAATCAAAGGGAGGCAAAATCTATATACATTAAAAACAAATACCTTAATAAAAAGTATTTCTTTGGACCCATGTCTCAACTTTTATGCCTTTAAAATATAAAAAGTTAGGTATTATAATTTATTTAGTTTGAAGTTTGTAACTTCTTCATCACTACCTAAAGATCAAATATATACCATATGATTATGTATTTTAGAAGCTTAAAAGGATGTCTGTCCTAATGGTGCACATTTATAAATTCAGATTAATGTTAAATTTATTGAATTAAAGAAAAATGAATAGACACTCATGAATAGAGTAATCCAAACAAAGAAGCTGTAGCTTTGGAGGGGTTGGAAGAAACAAGTCTTTGGGAGTAAAAGAGAGAAGAAATTCTAAAATTAAGCAGTTTTGACAAAACTGTCTTGCTGTTAGTTCCCTGAGATACAAATCTGGGACATATTAGCAAAAGTGCTTGGGTATCTCAATAAGCACAACTATGAAATAAGTACATGGAAAACATTTGTTTTCTATTTGGTTTGTGCTATATCGTGTGAGGGTTCATGTATCTGATGCTACTGTGTGAACCTTCCATAGTACATACGACTGCATGGCTATCATAGCAGAATTTTTCCAGTGACTCTGCTTCATTTTATCATAACATTTTTTTGTTTTGTTTTGTAAGTATTTTTAGTTAAGATTAACACAATATCTTTTTTATTAATTTATTTTTATGTGGTGCTGAGAATCAAACCCAGAGCCTTACTCTTGCTAGGCAAGTGGCTTTACCACTGAGCCACAACCCAACCTCATCCCTACATTTTTAATTACTTATTTTATACTTGAGGCTGTCCAAATGATATTAAGTTTTATAAAGATCATGCCAGTCATAATATCAGTTACTTAGCACTTTGCTCTTTGATTAGCAGGGTAATCTTTTCCTTTTTTTATGTAAAAACAATATTATTATTTGATTGTTTATTATTTGATAATATTATTTATTATTAAAAAAGGACTAAGAAGTATTTCTCTTTATAATACAATATTAGTAATTTATTAGTAATTTATTAACATGACTAATCAAAGGAGAACTAAATAAAGAGGGTGAATGTTCCAGTCAGCAATCCAGAAATTTTGAGCAGTATGTAGACAGAAACAGGTAGAGGACAGATAATTTACAACAGGAAATAGCCATTAGTGGGTTGTTGAGGCCAATAATTATGCTACAGGAAAATTTGGGCCACAGAGAAATTGTTTTTGAACGGTACCACTTATGTAAGACTATTATCTGTCAAAATGGCATTTTTCTACTTCCTGTTGCCTACTTTCTTCTGAGACTTGTTAAAATGCCCTGCATGGGCTGAGGATGTGGCTCAAGTGGTAGTGCGCTTGCCTGGCATGTACAGGGTGCTGGGTTCGATCCTCAGCACCACATAAAAAGAAAATAAAGATGTTGTGTCCACCAAAAACTGAAAAAAAAAATATTAAAAATTCTCTCTCTCTCTTAAAAAAAAAAAAAACAACGCCCTGTATAACTACCACAATTGTCATCCTGCTGTCTCCATTCAAAGTTTGTAGGAAATGGAGTATTTATTTTTCTTTTTCAAAAAAGAAATGGCTCGATTTGACTAGAATTACAAATTCAGCTTAGAAGAGAACTTAGAAAGCTAACAGATGAATGCTCTCATTTTATAATTGAAGATATTGTGTCCATGGAGGGAAAAATGCCTGTGCTTGTGATAATACAGAATAAAAATCCCACCCCTGGGGCCGGGGATGGGGCTTACTGGTACAGTGCTTGCCTAGTATGTAGAAAACCCGAGGTCCAATCCCTCAGCACTGGGGGGAAAAAAAAAAAAAACTACCTCTGTGTTCTTCACATTTTATTTTATAGTAAGCCAAATCATACTTCTTGAACAACCACCATACAAACAACCATTCTTGGTTGACATTAAGGGAGTTGTCTGTCATTCCTTTATACATTATAGCCAGAAAACAAAAACTTTGAAAAATTGTGGTACCTGTCAAGTTTACTGCAATAGTTTGGAATGAATGAATGAATCTTAGTGTTATTTGACAAAGCACAAGTTTGTAGTTACTGTTTCATTTTTTTATTTTCTTAGATAATGCATTTAAGTGGTGGCTGGGGGAAGATTCTCCATGAGCAGCTTGATGCATCTATTCTAATTGAAATTCAGAAGCATGTCCTAAACAGGCTAGAAAATGTGTGGTTGCCATTGTTCCTTGCAAGTGAGCAGTTTGCAGCCCGTCAAAAGATTAAGGTAGGAAATTTGTATATTATTTGAATAGCAATTGACAGTACCTGTCAAAACCTCACATGCTAACCTGCTGAGCCAGCCACTGTACTTGTGTGGTTCAAAGCCTGGAGTCAGACTTCTAAGATTTTAATCTCAATACTGCCACATATTAATTGTACCACTTTTAAGTTTCACAAATTTAATTTTCTCATTTGAAAAATGGAACTAACAGGGGCTGGGGCTGTAGTTCAGTGTCAGAGTGCTTGCCTAGCATGCGTGAGGCACTATGTTTGATCCTCAGCACCACATAAAAAAAAAAAAAAAGCATTCTGTCCATTTACAACTACCCCCCAAAAATCTTTTTAAATAGAACTAATAATAGTAATTGCTTCATAAGGTATTTGTGAAAATGAAATAAAATTAATATGGTTAGTTTCTTAGCATGGTGCTGAGCATACAACAAACATCAAATGTTGCCTATTAATATAGTTGCTATTTAAAATTTTTTTTTAGTTGTAGATGAATACAATATCTTTATTTTATTTACTTATTTTTATGTGGTGCTAAGGCTCGAACCCAGTGCCTTATATGTGCTAGGCGAGTGCTCTACTGCTGATCCACAACCACAGTCCTATAGTTGCTATTTTTAATATTATTAAGTCCTCACACAAATGGGCAAGGATATATAGACATCACTGTAATACCATAGGGGAAAATAGTTGAGTTACAATAATTTCACACTATGGAAAACTATTCAGATTACCATATAAAATAAGATTATAAAAATGAGATGAAATATAAACTTGAGATTTCTATATGTATTGATATGAAATATGTTATTTATTGACTGAAACAAGCAGAGCAATATATGGCAAATAATTCTATTATATCTATTTCCATCTCTATATCTGTATATATACATATCTGTCTGTCTATATATTTATCTTTCCATTCAACATTCTAGCTACCTATTATGATTTGGATCTGAGGTGTCCCCCAAAAGCTCCTCTGTTAATGCAGGAATGTTGGAGGCAAAATGATTGGATTATTCAGTTACAGTTGGGTGGTAATTGTAGGCCAATGGGGCTGATCTGGAGGAGGTGGGTCACTGGAGGCATGCCCTGGAAGGGTGCATCTTCCCTGCGGCCTCTTCCCCCTCCTCTCTGCTTCTGGCTGCCTTGAGCTGAGCAGCTTCCTTCTGCCATGCCCTCCCCCCACCATGTGGGCCTCACCTTGGGCCCAGAGGAAAGGAGTCAGCCATTTGTGGACTGAAACCTCTGAAAGAGTGAGCTCCAAATAAACTCTCCCACCTCTAAGTCCTTCTCATCAGGCACTTGGTCACAGCAATGCAAAGCTAACACACTGCCTATCTTTTTACTTATACTTCTAAAAGGACCTGCCTCCTGGGAATGGGTTTGAGGAGCAAGCAGGATTTTTACTTTATAAAGTGGAGCTTTTTTTGCTTTGTTTTATTTTTATTTTATATGACCAAGTATTACTTTGATCACTTAAAACGTCATTAGCATTCCTAAAAGCAGGCAAGACTGATCTTTACAAAAATAATAGAAGGGTTGGAAAACATGTAATTTTGGACTAAAAGACATATGGCATTAATACTGATCAGGAAGAACCCGAAAAAGCTTTTCTCTGTATTGTATTCAATTTATTAAACACTTTGAGGTCTACTTATCTGAAAATGTAGACTTTCGAGCAGAGCAACTTAGGGAAAAAGCAGTACATCTGGGAGCACAAAATTTATAGTATGGAGAAAAAGAGCCAATTTGTTTCAGGCAAAAAGTTCCTGGAAATAAACTTTGGGAAAACTCAAATCTCCTTGTTCCCTTTTCTTCGGGGAAACTCCAATTCACTATACAAAGCCAAGAAAAAGGACATTTGGCTTACTAATATTATTTACCACATTTTCTCATTATGTTTACCACAGTAATTTTATCGTAACTTGTAGTCATTTCCTGACTTAGCATTCTTTGGATGGTCAGCAAAATAAACTGATTCTGGCAACCTTAAGCCAAAGACAGAAAGGAGGGGTGAGAATTTATTATCAAATGGTGCTGGTGCATCGCACAACTTAGGGAAAGAGTTAACACCCAACCTTCACAAAAAATGTAGGTGAGGACAGCCCCAGGAACCCTCAAGAGTTCTCAGATCTTTTCTCCAAAGTGTGGCTATTAAAAAGACTTGGGCCTGAGGATGTAACTCAGTGGTAGAGTACTTACTTAGCATGCACAAGGCCTTGGGGTTTAAACAGTTTAGCCCAACTGGTCCTAGTCCTTGTTTCTCTAGATCTACTCTTGGATCTATCTGCTATGGGTAGGGAGGTAGGGAGAAAGAGCACAGATTTGACAGGAGCAATTCCCAGAAAGGGAAAATATTATATAGAGACAATAATCCCAAAAAACACAGTTGTCTCTTAGTATCCATGAAGTACTATTTCCAGGACCCCCTTGGATACCAAAAATCTGCTGATGCTCAAGTCCCTCATATAAAATGATGTAGCATTTGCATATAACCCAATCCTCCAGTAGATTTTAATTCACCACTAATTACTTTTAAAACATTCTAAGGTAATGTAAATACTTTGTAAATAGTTGTCATACTGTATTGTGGGGAATAAAAAGGAAAAAGTCTATGCTTATTCAGTACATATATAATTTTTTTCTGAATATTTTCAATCTGAGGTTGGTTGAATCCATGGATGAATAACCAATGGATAGGGAAGGCTGAAGGGATCTACTGTGTTTTTCTCTGTGTTAGGAGTAACTTTTGGACTCTTCTAAAATTAATTGTTGAAAAGTACATGGTTAGGAAATAGCACAAAAATCTGAGGAGCTAAAATTATCACTCCAAACTCAGTTTTTATGTGAGCCAAAATAAAATAATCATCTGCATTTAGGGGATTGTGGTTGGGTGTAATCTCTATTTTGCAGATAAGGAAACTGTTCTGAGAATGAGTGGCTCACCTAGAAACCTGACTACAGGGCTTTTATTTCTAATTGATCCTCTTCCGCCTGAATGACTCCATCTCTTATCCAACTTGACCTTTGCCTCATTTTTTAAGCTATTAAATTGGTAAATAATCTCAAAGCTGGACATTCTGAATAAGGGGGATAAAATCGTTGGTTTTGTTTTTAGGTACAGATGAAAGACATAGCAGATGAGCTTTTACTACAGAAGCATGAAAGGAAAATCGGGATCTGGAAGGCAAGTGATCATTATATTCCTCCTCTTCTAAGTTCCACTCCGTCTAAAGTATTATTTTTCCTTCCTCTTCATGTTCAAAAACCTTCATCAAAGACACTGCTTTCTGAACCACCAACCGATTGCTGATAACTGTTCTTACTTAGCAGATGGAAGTTTGGCACAAGTGTGACTCTGCCAGAGCTCTCTTCTTAAGAATTCCTTGACCACGACCATAGAAGTGTGTCCTTTAATTATGATGTTTTATTTTGTTTTGTTTTTGCACAAGGCCCTGGGTTTGGTCCCCACACACATACTCTGTGTGTGTGTGTGTGTATTTGTATATGAACATATACATACATATATATGTATATATAAAACACATACATATATACATATATGTACACACATATATATATGTGTACATACACACACACATATATATATATATATATATACATATATTCTGATTGTGATGGATTTATTGAGACAAGCTATTCTTTCCAGCATATGGTAGTTTATTTATTTTTGAGAGTAGATTATACAAAAAGAATAGTATGCAACGGGATCAGCAAGTTTAGACATTTTACATTATCCCCTTTATTTAGAATAAGTTTAGCTTTAAAAGAATTAAGATACTATCATTTCAGTGATTATTAAACCCACTCTAATGATACCTTACTAGTAATTGCCCATTTTGCGATTTATAAGCATCATGAACATAGTCGTCATCCCTTTGAGCCTACAAGTTTATGTGTATTTATTCTTCTGCAGGTCATGATAGAAGGCCACACTAGGCCCAGGTGATCTCCTGCAAACCAACAAAGATAAAAATTTAATCAAATGTTAGAGGAGTGCATGTGTATGTTAGGATGCTCTTTCCTGGATTTCCTCTTGAACGGAAATAATTTTTTTAAATGTTTGATTTTTTTTTCTGTGTTTTTAGTTGGAATACTAAATAGAATGAGCTTATATTTTATGTTATTGTGCCTTATATATTATATTATTTTCTATTTAGTTAAATTATGGGTTTTAGTTAAATTACTAAGTTTTAGTATCTTAAGAAGCAGGTCTTAAAACAGTATTTGTTGAGTGGGTTTTAAATAAACATCCCAGTCTAATCCATAGTTGTTTCTATTTATGGGGCTATAATTTTAATATGGACCAGATGGTAAGGGACTTAAGTTTTTGTCCAGAGACCATGGCATGTGCCTCACTAAAGCAGTGATAGACATCTATGCACTTTATCTGGGTTAATGGCACCACCACCCATCCAGACTGCCTGGAAATGTGTTCACCCCTCAGTTCCAACTCAGATGTCATCTTCAAGCCCTGCTCTCTAAAGGCTTCACTTTTCCATGCAGAATTAGTTATTCTTTCCTTTGTATTCCCACGGCACTTTATGTAACTCTGTTAAACATTTGTATTGATGATCATATACGATTTTTTCTCCCAAGGAATTTATTTTGTGCCTTGTCAGTGATAAATATTTTTCTTGTAATTTAATCATTAATATAATCTGTAAGTCCATCTAAAATGGTGCCTTGGGAATGATGCTTTCTTGTATGGTTGTACACGACGATCAACTCTGGGGAACTTCAATAAAATTAAAATCTATTCATCAAATTCAATAAAATCCATTTCTTATGTTTTTAATCTGAGAGGATAAAGGGAATTGAATGTGTGATTTTAAATAATCAAAATAAAAGGAGGAGACATGTTACATTTCAAAATTGTGAAGATATAAAATACATGTAGGTTAAAAATGCCCTTCAGCATTACTGAAGCACCATGGGTGCCTCTGGATTTCATGTTGCATGGTGCAAATCCTCAGCAGAGAAACTTTATTATTTTAAAAAAGTTGCTTACTACTTGTTTTTATAATTATTGATTATTAATCATAATGTATTATTAAAATAATACGAAGATGTTCTGCCTAAAACCATGAGCTTTCAGGATACAATTATAGTGAAGTTCAATTAATTGATATCTTTAAAAAATTAGAAACTCTTAAGTGTTACACTGCTTTTACTTTTTAAAAGGCAGGAGAATTATGTAATAGTAAAATAAATAATGGAGTAATATCTAATCATGACATTAAGATTATCATGTTGTGTTTGAGTGCCAAACTCTTACCACCCGCCGACAGGTAGGGTTGCCAAGTTGCAGTGTTTTAACATTCTCTATGTAGCCATGTGTTCTAAGTCAACTAGTCATTTCCTTTTCCCTCTACCTTTAAAAAACATGATGCCATAAAAATATACAGGAGACAAGAGAGCGGGGGAGGGGAGTTGTCCAGTTCTATGGTATACATGACATGAATTTCAACAGCCAAAATTAAAGGAGATAAAAGTCAGTAATTTAGCCTACTTGGTGACTTTTCTACTTTTTAGAGCACAGTTAATTTTCTGTATTCTGTTTTGCACAGCCAGTGGAGAGTAAATGGATTTCTTCATGGAGTGATATTATTGCTTTTCGTAAAGCATTGTTGAATCCAGTTACTGCAAGACAGTTCCAACGTTTTGTGGCTCTAAAAGGAGATTTACTAGAAAACGGGGTGCTCTTTTGGCAAGAAGTACAAAAATATAAGGTATCGTATTGGAAGCTGAGGAAAAGCCACTTCTTTTTTGAGGAGGAAATGCATTAACATATCAAATTCCTAACTATAACTCTCTAGACAAGATTTGTATAAGATCTCAATTTTGCCATCTTCTTCATTCCCAATTTTAAATACTGAGATGCTTATTACTCGTTGTCTAGATACACTTACTATTATATCGTGAAGAGTAAGTCCTAAAATGGTAGTAATAGGTTTTTCTAAGGCATTAACATGTATTATGATCATAGAACAAGTACCTTCCTGGAGAGAGTTTTAACTGAATTTTTCTGTCTTACATATGTATATATATAAGCGTGCCATACACATTTTTTCCCTTAAGATATCCATATAGCCAATACCTCTTTATAAGAATTCCTCCCAACTAAATTTATAACAATTGTAATCAGAGATTCCGCTTTATAGATAAACCACAGATGAGAAAGGTTTTTCTATTAGAAAGAAAGGCCAAATTCTTAACAAAATAAATAAGAGAATAAGGGGTTAGACACACAGATAGTTTATTTGCAGATTAAAGTGTTTAATGGAATCATATATTATATTGTCTAGACTTGAACAGAGAAATGTTGTCTAAAAATACTTAAGAGGTATCTAGCCTCTGTTTAAATGCTCCCAGGGGTGTAGGCTTATTTTCTTGTAATCAGCCTATTTTATCTCATTGTAAGAGTGGGGAATAAAAATCGAACTAGAATTCAAGAGTACAGTGTTTTCAGTTGGTCTATAATGTAAGTTTGTATTATGCAACACTAATACAGTTGCATAATATTTGTTCAATAAAATTCATGCTTTCTCCAACATACCATGAAACTTTTTTCTACCTTTTTCTGGTTTTGTACTATTCTCAGTTTAGGTTGTAACAGAAAAAAAAAATTTTTTTGAGAAGTTTTTTCACAATGCTTCCCAACAATCATACCAAAATAAAATTTTTGAGAATTAGAAAGGAGGTAGAGTTTGCTTTCCACAACAGACAATTTTTGAGCAGGGTGGGCAGAATCATCTTAAAGTGAATATGAACATGAATAAGCCCAAGACTGATAGGACAAGAAGAATGAGGTAAACCTTATAAAAAAATATTTAAAAAGAGCATGGACTCATAGAAGCCACTCTTAGTGTTGTGGCTGCCCTTAGTCTCCATTTTAGTATCTTTTCTGCAGTATGGCATGAAGGACTTAAGAGTACTCGGTGGCTATATTTTAAAATACACTATAAAATTAGAAATCACGCTATGGGAATAAATCCATTCCTCTGAGAAACATCTCTTTTGTGTCTGGAAAGGTGAGCACAGTGTGTTGGCAGGGTTTGAGTAGGTATAGGTGTAGCACAGAGGTAATGCTGGGGTGGTGGGGCAGGGAGATCTCAGCAGGAGTGGTGGCCCTTGTACTGGGTCCTGAGGGAACTTGCCGGCTGGAAGGGGCTCCACTGGGCAAAGCCTTCACTGAGCTCATCTTATGGGGCTTACTCTGCTAAACATTTATTGTCTGGCAGATATTGTCTTAATGCTTTTCATGTAATAATGAATTTATTCTTCACAAGTATCCTATGAGTTCAAGGATATTTTCACCATTTTACAGATGAGAAAACTAAAGCACACACACAAAAAGTTAAACTCCCAACATCACCAGCTAGTTAAATTATAGAGCAAGAATTTGAAACAAGTCATTCCAATGGGAAAGCCTAAGTTCTTAACCTCAAAGTAACACTGTCTCCTAGTAATGATTACGGTAATATTTAAAGAGCTGGCTGGAATAAGCTTAATCAGATGTTATTCTGTATTGTGAAAAAATCAGAAAGAACCAGATGTGCAACAAGAGGACACTGGTTACAATTATGAAACATCTCCACAACAGAATACTTTGTGTCAGTAAAAATCATGCTGTGGGAGAATCATCAATGATGGAAAAACATGTTTATATCATTGATTTATTCTAAAGTAGCTACTAGAAAACAGTATGATTTGATCTAAAATGTGTGTGTGTGTGTGTTTATACAGAAAAGATTAGAAGGACATTTTCATCTAACAAATATTTATTGAACCCCTACCAGGGGCCAGGTTCTATATCCTGAGGGTTCAACCATGATCAAAATAATCTCTCTTCAAACTCATGATATCAAGAGAGGTTCAGACGATGGCAGACAAAGCAATAATAAGTGTGTCATTAGGGCAACAGCAGTAGGGGAAGCCCAGGATGCTAGGGAAGTAGGCAGGATGGATGTCTCTCTTGGAGTCTTGGAGAACGTACTAGAAGGAAACATACTTAACAAGACCTCTATAATAGGTGACAGTTAACTAGGCTAGTGGCATGACAGGGTGGGACAATTAGGAAAAAAATCAGGCCCAATCAAAAAATTATTCTATATGATAAGCCCACTAGTAATGGCAAATAATGCATCCCATAATGTAACAAATGCCATTTAAATATGTTTTTTCTAAGGTGATGCTAAATTAAATAGAAATGCTAACCATTGTTACAATATAATGTTTTATATTAAGCTTTTTCACACATAACTTTTGCCAAACCATACATAAATTTTACATGACTGGTACAAGAATTTTTCTTTCATATTATGTGTAAGACAGCTAATACAATGACTGATAGGTACTGGACACTTAATAAATATTAGGTAATTTCTGACCTAGAATTAGAAGTTTTCAAACTTGTTTGTTTTCAACTGATTAGAAAACAATGTCTGGCTGGACCTAGTGGCGCACACCTGTAATCCCTGCAACTCAGGAGGAGCGCAAGTTCAAGGCCAACCTTGGCAATTTAGTGAGGCCCTAAGCAACTTAGTGAGACCTGTCTCAAAAAAATCACAAGGACTGGGGATGCAGCTCAGTGGTAGAACCCTCACTAAATTCATTCTAGTAGCAGAAAAATAAATTAAAAATAGCTTATTGAGCCCCTACCTGGGGCCAGGTTATATATCCTGAGGATTCAACCATGATCAAAATAATCTTCTCTCTCCAAACTCATGATGTCAATAGAGGTTCAGATGATGGTAGATAAGGCAATAACAAGTGTGTCATTAGGGCAACAGCAAGGGAAGCCCAGGATGTTATGGAAGTAGGTAGGATGGATGTCTTTCTTGGAGTCCTGGAGAACTTACCAGAAGGAAACATTTCAGCTAATGTCTGTGGCTGGAAAATGCTATAATTCAGACTAAGTTATCTCTTTATTAAGAAAAAGAATATCCCTTTATTTGTGACTTAAAAACTGGGTCAGTTTAAGAGATGGTATTACTTTTATGTTTTTTATGAAGAGGATAATATGATGGGGTAATTGGAACAATATACATACTAAACGATATATAATGCCATTCCTTTTCACCACCAGCAGGCCCACTTTCTTCACTAACCTTTTTAAGCCCAAGTCAATTTGGTGAAAAAGCAGCCTGGCGGGGAAAGCTATTGCATCTACCTGTAGCCTGAGTTAGATGCCCATTCTTGATATGCTGCACGGATCTTCTATATACCTCTACCATAACATACCATAACTAGCTATCCTGAATTTAAGTAACATGTTTTCACATTTCTGCAGTAGAGATTGAAACCTCCAAGGGCATGAGCTGTGTCTGGAGTCTCAGCTCTGTGTCTGACAGGTAGCAGGCTCTCAATATATAGTCATTAAATGAGTCAAAGCAGGCATTAAAGCTGTTTCTTTGCCTGGATAAACAAGTTATCTGTATTAAATGAAATCTGTACCTATATAAGGTGCATGTATTAGTTTTAGGTTCTTCAAATCCAACAGAAAGAAAAGCTATGTTTATTTATTTATTTATTTATTTAAGATAGCCTTGACATGTTCTGGTGCCCTCTTAACCTGAAGTTAAAATGAAATACCTTGCAGACATAGGTCTACGAAAGTGTTTTAGTAATGCATTAATCACATATTATTTTGTCTTTCCTTTCCTCCTCCTTGTTTAGGACTTGTGCCATTCCCATTGTGATGAGTCTGTCATCCAGAAAAAGATCACAACTATCATCAACTGCTTCATTAATTCTTACATTCCACCAGCTTTGCAAATTGACATTCCAGTAGAGCAAGCCCAGAAGATTATTGAACACAGGAAGGAGTTAGGACCATATATATTTAGAGAGGCACAGGTAAGAGATCAGGGCATGTGGCTAAGCATATTTTAAAATACATTAACAGGGCTGGGGTTCTGGCTCAGTGGTAGAGCACTTGCCTAGCATGTGCAAGGCACTGGGTTTGATTCTCAGCACTGCATATAAATAAATAAAATACAGGTCCATTGAAAACTAAAAAAAATATTTAAAATATACATTGACAATCAAGATATTCTTTTAAAGCCTTTACATTATTCATATTTGGCAAGATTTCAATCTTCTGAGTACTGGGATTTTTAAATTTAGTTTAAATTAGTTTGCCGTGCCATTTAAATATAAGAAAATAGTAAGTCACGTGCTATTTTGTTGGTGATAAGATATAGCAAATAAAACTAAATAATACGCTTTGACTTTCCGTAGTTACCATTTTTATTTCTAATTTACTAAAAAAACTCCAGCTAATTCCTCCTTCCTTTCCCACCATTCATATTTCTTTTTAAAATATCTGCTACCTCAAAAATGTGTAAAATATGTGTGTCCCAAGATTTGTATATTTTTAAAGATTGGAATATTCACATAGCTCATAAAATAAGTGAGAGGAGATTTAAGTATTCAACCAACATAAAGTACACAAACTCATGAAAGGAAAATCATGTCTGTTAACCTGCTCAAGTTACTTCTTTTTAAGATAAATAATAGAAAACATTGACTTGGTGAACATAATTTATTTGCATTTTGAAAAGCCTTTTAGTGATGTTGTTCTTAAAAAATGATTAAGAAAAATAAATTATAATAGGGGTAATAGGGAAGGCCATGTCATGAATTAAGTGATATGAAACAGAGATTTAGAGTATGATTGCCCTTGAGCATGGAAAAAGGCCATTATTCCTTAACTTTCATTTGTAAGCCAGCTGTGTTCTAAGTCCTCTAAGGGATTGAAAGTGGACTCACAATCCAAAATATGCATTAAAACAGGCAAAAATATAGAGAGGCATGATTGAGGATGTGCTAGAGAGAAATAGAGAAAACAGGGTGCCAGAATCAGAGCATCTGTTAATGAAGAGGTCTTAGAGAAAGCTTGGCCTCGCCTCGGGGTACTGACAAACCCAGACAGGACTTGCCAGTCTATTTCAAAGACCTTGAGCCTGGTGTTAGAGATCTGGAGCTAGGGACACTGGCTGGTTCTGGCACACTCTTCAGGAATTGCAGCCAGTGAGCTTTATTGGTGACCTCTGGCCTGTGACTTCTGTCTGATGTCCTAAAATGGAGTCCTAGCAATAGCTTAAATATAGAGTTTGAAGCCTCTGAAAATACAGGATCTTTATTTGGGGGCCTCATCCCTTTGAATCTGTTATTCCTTCTGTTGTTCCCAAGGAAGCTCAGAGAATGGCATACCACCTATCCCTCCCCAGGTATACAGCTAGTATCTGGTTGCCATCTTCATGTCTTCCCTCTCCTTCATTTTGTTACTCCCTCAGCTAATCCCTTCCTCAGATGTGTCCATTTGTCTCCTTGTCAGCTGTCACTCTACCTATATTTTCTTAAACTGTACCACACTTCAGATATGTAACAAGTCTCACATCAAATTACCAAAACCCCCTGCCTCTGGGCTCTCTCTAGTCCTTTCAACTCAATCTGCAAACAGAGTTATCTTTCTAAAATATGTCTGATCATGTCACCTCTCTGCTTAAAATGTTTCCGTTGTTCTCTCCACTGCCCTCAGAATGAAGTCCACATCCTCCATACCTGCCTGGCTCCATCTCTTACCGCTTCCTGCCATCTCTCCCGGGGTCTTCCTGAAATGGCTCTTACTGTCTTCTCTCCTGAGCATTGTGCTGTATCCTCTTTTCTTCCTGTATCTGTCCCTGTCAGAGCCCTTATCACACTAAACTACAAGTGACTATCCTCATGTCTGACTTTCCCATTAGGCTGTAAGCCTTTTGAGGACAAGGAATGTTTCTTTCTTACCTTTGTGGCCCAAATGCTTGGCACATTTTTTGACTTTATGAATGAACGATGTGAGACGAGATCTGGCATGACAGTGAAGAATAAGATCATATTGGAAATGACAGCAGAGTTGAGCAAAAGGACTGAGTAGTAAATAAGACTCTGCTGTTTAGCATGGCCATCAGTGTACCTGTGACGACCCCTCCTGCCCATGCCCAGTGGCTGGAAAATTTCATCATCAGCCAAGTTTTCACTGATCCTTTGATTCATACTAAAACCATTGCTCATCTACTAGCATTGAGCAGAGTAGTTCTGTAGTTATTATTTTCTTTACCCCACAATTTGGTTTTCTTTTAACCTTCTGGAGGTACAGATTCCATTTATTAATTATAGGCATTAACCTAAAATCTTAATTGCATCTTTTGGAACTATTGAGCTTTTATGACTTCTAGTAAAACATTATGTCCTAATTGGGTGAACTTACTAGAGAGCCTTCTACATGGAGATACATACATTTGAGAGATGGGAATGATTAAGATTTTGGAGAGAGAATGGAGAAGTAGGCACAAAAATTGGTGAACAGAGAAGAAGGAGTAATTAAATTAAAATTCATATAGCTACTGTGATACCAGTATATTGACAAGGGGATTACCTAATTAAATGAGTGGCAGATAAATATAAATGAAATTTTCTTCAAAGCATGCATTTCATCAAATAAAATATCTCTAGATTTTATGATCACATTCCCAGGAGTCTATGGAATTCAGTCACAAAACTGTCCTTTAAAAAGGGTGAATGATTTTATAATTATGAATCACATTCATGTATGGAAAAGTGGAGCAATGAAATATGCCGATTCAGGACTGTTGACCATGAAGTATTTACTTTGTAAAAAAAATTAAAAAATCTTCTTTTCCCTTAAGAGTTGGCTTGGTGCCTAATGGGATGGTTCATTTTTCTTAGGGCATTAGGTAAAGGCCATTCCTAGCCATACGATGTTGGGCTTGATTTGATGTGGCAAGTCCTACCTTCTTGGAAGTAATGTATGCCTCTGGAACTAATGGAAAAACTTGGCATGGGAATTAGAGCAACTATTCTTATCTCTGTAAATATCACAATTAATCACTTAATGTAAAGTGTCCTTATAGAAAGCATTTGTCTAGGATACCATTCTGCTTTCTAAATGTTACTTTTCTTGCTCTCACATAAAAGAAAGATTATATCATTTAAAAGTTACTCAAGATTTATTCTTAGATCTGCAGCTTTGTTTAAGAGCTTTTCCAGAGGCAAAATGGTATTTCCTTTCTCTAAAAGAAAGAAAAGGGGGTGGGGGAGTTTCCCTTGATGAACTGAATACTTGGAATACTTGTGTAGAACAGCAGTGTGTAGCAGATCAACTAGTATATGTTTTAAAAGAAAACATAAATTTCTTATTTAAAAAGACCTAATGGATTCTTTATTAATACAATCAATTGGTTAGGGAAACATAAGAATAAAGTGACTTTTAAGTGTATTTGGTCTGTGTGTGTGTGTGTGTGTGTGTGTATTTTTTCTAAAGAAAGAATTCTCATTGGTAATAAAAAGAACATTGATGATAAGCATGTGCTGAGCTAAACTGTACTAAGAAGTCTGGAGACAATAAGTTGAAGGAAACATGGTGCATATTAAAGACAGAATAGTTAATCCATTATTATGGTGAATTAGAGTTTAAATTGATGCATTTATATAAAATTGTAATCTGAGACATACTTTGTTTTTTTACACAGATGACAATTTTTGGGGTTCTGTTTAAATTTTGGCCACAATTCTGTGAGTTTAGGAAGAATTTAACTGATGAAAAAATTATGAGTGTGTTAGAGAGAAGACAAGAATATAATAAGAAAATAAAATCCTCAAGCACAGATGACGAAAAATTGGGAAAGGTAAGACAAGACTTCTTTGGGATTGAATCGTACTTTGAAAAGGTATGTGGTATGTGTGAATTTGTAGAAGAATTTTCACTGAGGGAATATAGAGATAAGTTATGGAATACAGATTTTAGTGGCTTTTAAGTCTTTGTTCAGAGGTTTCAGATTTACTTTTGAATTCCCCAAGATTCATTTCAAATATTGCCTCTTCTATGTGAAGTCTTCCTTAACTCTCCTAGCTACGCAAATAGCTTACATCTGCTGCAGTAAGTTCCCCCTTCTCGTAAAGCATGCTTTTTATTGTCCTGTAAGTTTCTGCATCTGCCATCTTTGATGGATAGAGATCCTTAAAGATAGAATCACAAGTTCAAGGCCACCCTCAGCAACTTAGCAAGACCCTGTCTCAAAATTTAAAAAAGTAAAGAGGGCTGGGGATGTAGCTTAGTGGTAAAGCAGCTCTGTGTTCAATCCCCAGTATAAAGAGAGAGAGAGAGAGAGAGAGAGAGAGAGAGAGAGAGAGAGAGCCCATCTGACTCTTCATCCATGTTTATAAGCACATATCCCTTAGCCAGCATGTTGCTTTATTATTAATAATCATCGTTTATTGAATAAATCAGGAATTCTATGTGGTGTATGTAAAATAAAGAGTGTAATATACTTTACATCACAGAATACCATTGAAAAACATGTAGAACACAGCACGTGTCATAAAGTAAATGTTAGTCACATTGATACTGTGGCAGTGGGTCTGTGCACCTCAGTCCCAGATGCTTTGAAGGATGAGGTGGAAGGATGGCTTGAGGTCAGGAATCCAAGACCAGCCTGAGCAACATAGGGAGACTCTGTTTCAAAAACAAATGTAGCAATAATTTTTCTTCTTTATTATAAAAATAATATCAAACATATCTTTCATTTTTATTCTTATCAAGTAGTTAAATGGAACACGGTAATCTGAAGAAAGTTATGATAAGAGAAAAAGAATCTCATGAAAATAACTTTCATTTAGTTTAATATCAAATACTTAAAACGAACAGTGTCAAATTTATTAACAAAAAGAGCACGTAGCTTCACTAAATAAAAATTTTAAACTTTTAAATGGCAAAAAATAAGATTAGAAGACAAATTGGGAGATAAAAGTTAAGATATAAGTTATAAAAACAAATCAGAAAAAAGGTAAATACTCTTAATAGAAATTTGGGTGAAGAGTGTTAGTATGCAATCCCCCCCCCCCCAAAAAAAATTACAAATAAACAAAAGCATTCAAAGGTATTCAGCCTCCCTGTTAACCAAAGACATGAAGACTGGCACAGAAGAAAATATTGGCAATATCCACTGTTTGTTGAGCTTGTGAGAAAGAGGCATACAAACTCATCCATTATTAGAGAAGGTATAAAATGGCACATTTTTCTAAAGGATAGTTTGACAATAAATATTGTTTAAAATGTTCATTTTTTAAAAGTCAGCACATACACTTCTAGAAATTTATTCTAAAGGATATAATCATAAAAATGCATTTATAATAGCACAAAGTTGGAAATCACCTAAATTTCTAATTTATCTAAGTATATCCCTTTAATCACCTTTTGAAAATGATAGTATATGTTTTTCATTTTATCATTCAACAAACATTGAGTGCATAAGACTATTTAGTCATTGAAAATGGTGATCTAATTTATTCATTTTATCATTCAGAAAATATTTGAGGACATCCTATGTGACAGATGCTGTTCTACAAGTAAACATATTAATGGTAAATAATACAAAGGCCCAGCTTACATTCCATTTCTGTGTTTCTTTACATAGAAATGTTTTCATAAAATATTTTGCATGAAAAAGCAGATTTTAAAAGAACACATATATGGGAAAACTGGAAATCCATATGCTATAGAATGAAATTTAACCCTTATTTCTCACCCCGCACAAAACTCAACTCAAAGTGGATCAAAGGCCTAGGAATTAGATGAGAAACCCTGCACTGCTAAAAGAAAATATAGGCCCAACACTCCAACATGTCAGCTCAGGAACTGACTTCCTTAACAAGATTCCTAAAGCACAAGAAGTAAAATAAAAAATCCCTACATAGGGGCTGGGGTTGTGGCTCAGTGGCAGAGTGCTTGCCTCGCAATATGAAGCACTGGGTTCGATCCTCAGTACCACATAAAAATAAATAAAAAAAAATAAAGATATTGTGTCCATGTATAAATAAAAAAAATATTTAAAAAAAAAAACCCTACATGGGATGACACCTTTCAACAGATGAGTGGATAAAGAAAATGTGGTATTTATACACAATGGAATATTACTCAGCCATAAAAATGAATGAGATTATGGTGTTTGCTAGTAAATGAATGGAACTGGAGACTATCATGCTAAGTGAAATAAATCAATCCCCCCAAACTAAAAGCCAAATATTGTCTCTTATACACAGATGCTAGCATACAATAAGGGAGGGAAGAATAAAAATTTATTGTATTAGACAAAGGGGATGGGAATAGGAAAGACCATACAATGAATCAGACACAACTGATATGAATACACTACTGGTTGTAACTCCACATCATGTATAACCACAAGAATGGGAATGTATGTACGTATAATGTCAAAATACATTCTACTGTCGTATATCACTAAAAAAAAAATGAAATGTAGTAGAACATTGTGTAAAATTTGGAGATACAAATTAATATTTAAGATTAATGCTTTAGTTCTTTTCCGTAATCACCTGCTATATTTGGCAAACTTAGTGTTTAGCAAACATTGTTCTGGATGATGTTTGCATTTAAAAGACATGTTCTGTCTTCTCAAAAAAAATGGGATGGCATCAAATTATAAAGCTTCTTCACCTCAAAGGAAATAATCAAGAGCATGAAGAGAGAGTCTACAGAATGGGAGAAAATCTTTGCAACTTGCTCCTAAGATAGGGCATTAATATCCAGGATATACAAAGAACTCAAAAAACTTAACACCAAAAAAGCAAGTAACCCAATCAATAAATGGGCAAATGAACTAAACAGACAGTTCTCAGATTAAGAAATCCAAACTATCAACAAATGAAAAAATGTCATACATCTCTAAGAATTGGAGAAATACAAATTTAAACTACACTGTGATTTCATCTCACTCCAGTCAGAATGGCAATGATCAAGAATACAGGTAACAACAAATGTTGGCGAGGATGTGGGGGGAAAACGTACACTCATGTATTGCTGGTCAGACTGCAAATTGGTGCAGCCTCTCTGGAAAGCAGTATAGAGAGTACTCAAAAAGCTAGGAATGGAACCCCATTTGACCCAGTTATCCCACTCCTTGAAATATATCTAAAGGAGTTAAAATCAGCATGATATATTGATACAGCCACAAAAATATTTATAGCAGCTCAATTCACAATAGCTAAGGTATGGAACCAATCTCAGTACCCTTCAATAGATGAATGGATAAAGAAAATGTGGTATATATACGCTATGGAATATTACTCAACCATAAAGAAGAATGACTTTATGACATTTGCTAGTAAATGGGTGGCTTGGGAGACTATCACACTGAGTGAAATAAGCCAATCCCCCCAAATAAAAGGTTGAATGTTTTCTCTGATATGTGGAAGCTAATCTACAATAAGCGGGGGGTGGGAGTGGGGGGAAGGTATAGAAGTTCAGTAGAGTAGACAAAGGGGAATGAAGGAAAGGGAAGGGATGGGAATATATGTATATAAATATACTAAGTGAATCTCACCATTGTGTACATCTACAAGAAATTAATTAAAAAATAACTATGAGTAAATGACAGAAAGATCCGTAGAAGAGAGGAAAGGGAAGGGGAGGTACTGGGAACTGAATTAGAACAAGATATATTTCATGCTTTTAAAATTATGTCAACATATATTTTTTTATATATGTATAACATGTATAACTAAAATGAACAAATAAACAAACACTTCTCATTAGTAATAAAATAAAAACATTGATGATCAGCATGTACTGAGCTCAACTATACTAAGAAGTCTGGAGACAGTAAGTTGAAGGAAACATGGTGTATATTAAAGACAGAATAGTTAATCCATTATTAGGGCGCTCTGGCATGACAGTGAAGCATAAGATCAAATTGGAAATGAGAGCAAAGTTGAGCAAAAGAACTCAAAACTCAAAAAAACCCTCAAAACTCAAAACTCAAAAAAAAAGCAAAACTCCTTTTGTAAAAGGACTGAGTAGTAAATAAGACTCTGCTGTTTGGCATAGCTATCAGCATACCTGTGACTACCCCTCCTGCCCAGGCCCAGTGGCTGGAATTGCATAAAATTCAATCGACAAAACATAAACATTAAGATTATAGATTATATTTGTATTTCTATGCATTTTCTTTCGTGAGAAGTCTGGATGGATGTTCTTGAAAATGTTACAATGGTTTCTCTTAGATGCTAGAATTTGGGAATAGATTTTACATTCCACTTCATTATCTCATTTGTTTTAAAATATTTTATATTAGTATAAAAGAAAATTAAGATCAAAATGACTTGATGAAAACTCAGTTGTAGCATTCACCATGAAATATTTTTTCACATGATATTACAACTTCTTCACTTCAAATTCGTATTAGTATAGCATTATCCCTTTTCTGGAATAATTTAATTTAATATGATTACAGTTTGGAATCAAACAATATGGAAGTACTACAGGGTCTGCTACCAAAAGCGCCTTAGTCACTGAACCCCTCCAAGGCCTGCAAGCATATGGCCGGCAGGTAAGCAGCAAAAGAGCACAGGTCTCACTTCCTCTCCAGAGGACTGGGTGGTGGCTCCCAAACTCAGTCACTGGACAGTGCTGGGGTGTTTGAAAGTGGGGCTAAAGTTATAACACTAGGAATGATTGGAAGGGAATGTCCTTGAGTTTTTAGAGTTGAACAGTACTTTTAAGCTGATTCTGGACATGTAATCAAGGAAAATAACTTCTTGAAACACATGAAGATTTAAGTTGCAGAAGTTGAAATGACCATTTTACTGGAAAAGAGAATAAGAGAGAAAAAAACTATATGTATATATATGTTGTTATATTCTTGTGTTAAGAGATGACAGAAGAACGTTAATGCTTTGTTTCAGTTTTCTAATTTCTTGAAGCAGTCATTAAATTGGCCATTGACTAATACATTCACAACTTTTTTTGTTTATTTTTATAATTAGCACATTAATATCACTTCTCCCCAAATTTCATGAGATTATGTGCATTTTTTATTATTTTATATTGAAAGTGTTTGCATCTTAGGATAATACTGACTCAAGAAACAATCATTTTAGCACTCAGGAATGTCACATAACTTCAGTTATCTGGTTGAACTAATAGACTGAAAAGCTTTACTGTGAGAACAGAAATATTCAATTTTATGCAACCATGTGCTGAAAGAGAAATATCTAAAAGTGTACAATACCTAGAAATACATTCAGAAATATATTAGTAAATGATTAGTGTTAAACTTCAAAAACAGAGTGTAAAAAGAAAAGGGGTAAATGGCAGGGTTCCGTGGTGCACGCCTATAATCCCAGCAGCTAGGAAGGCTGGGGCAGGAGGATCACAAGTTCATAGCCAGCTTCAGCAATTTAGCGAAGCCCCTAAGCAACTCAGTGAGACCCTGTCTCTAAATAAAATTTAAAAAGGACTGGGGATGTGGTTCAGTGGTTGAGTTCAATCTGATACGGAAGGAAGGAAGGAAGGGAGGGAGGGAGGGAGGAAGGAAGGAAGGAAGGAAGGAAATGCTGATGTAGATGACCAGGTTTATAATTTTTACTCTGCCCTTATAATTCAGCATTACCTCATTGACTGAAACTCAGCACATAATCTCCTTTGAGTCTGCTTTCTTATTTGTAAAAAGAGAGAAATGAGATGATAATGTCCTAACAGATAGCTCAAGATATTTGTAGGAAATGGAAAAGCTTTTGAAATGGAAGTGGTGATATACTCCTGTAATCCCAATGGTTTGGGAGGCTGAAGCAGGAGGATTACAAGTTTAAGGCCAGCCTAAGCAATTTAGTAAAACCCTCTCTCAAAATAAAAAGGGCTAGAGATATAATTCAGAGGTAGAATGCTCATGGGTTTGATTTGTTTTTTCAATTTTTGTTCTTTCAATACTGAAAGAAAGAAAGAAGAAATACCCTTTGGAAACCAAAGTCATTTTATAAATATAAATGTATATCATAGTTATTATAGCTATTTAAAGTATCCATGTTGAATTACTCTAGCAATTTGTAAAATAATAATAACACTGCCATTTTGCAAATGTGGGTGGGTGCCTGGTATATGCATTTTTTCAGCTAGATTTTGCACATTGAAATTGTAATTAATCCAATTGCAAAAATTATCCTCTGATTCTCCCACCCGCAAAATCTTGGATCTTTTATAAGCACCTAGTATGTAAAGATTTAACTGTCAAGATATCTATAAAGCTTTTGTGACACTGATTCACTGAGCAATATTATCATCATCCTCACATCCTCCCCCTCCACACTCATCCAGGAAATTTACAGATTTAGGCGAAAATTTTTAGAATGCCCTTACTGTATCATAAACATTCTAAGAAAAGGAGTAAGATAGATTGATAATAATTTTTGATGCCCAAAATGTTTACTAAGCAAATTCAGCTTGTGAAATTTATACCCCTTAAACTTCTGATATGCATACTTTTCTTCGTATGTGTTATACTTCAATAAAAAGTTTAAATGAAGCGATATAAGTCATTTTACCCTCAATAATAGAAGTCATTTTAACTCCAGTTTACTTCCTCAGGCAAAAATTTCTAGAATTAACTTTGAAAATCATTTTTCCAGCCAACCTGGTGCTACTCAAAGTATATAGAAGCCTTAGAACAGGAAAGAGTTCTTCTTAAAATCCAAGAGGAACTGGAAAGAAAGATGCTTGCAGGTAAGTTTTTCTCTTTATTTACAAGATTATTTTGCTATTTCCTATCACAGATTAATTTTAGAGGATTTCAGCAATTACTTTTTATTTCTTTCATTTTGCACAGGTACATCATCACTAAGTAATTTATTTAGGCTTTCTGGTTCAGTCATGTCTTTGAAGAAGACTTGGTCTACCGTCAGCCTCCTGAGTGAGTTTCCAGGGCTAGTCCATCTTCAGTCCTCCTTTCTGCCTCTCAATTGGCCATTCAGAACATGGAGGCCATTCAGAACCCCCACTTCCCTGAATCCCAAGTTAGGGATGCGAGTGTGTCCTGGTGTGTTCTGTCTCTGTGTTTTCTCTCCTTGCTGAGGAGGAAAGATTAAGATATTTATTCCTACAACTTGACCTCTTTTCCAGAGGGACAGCATTGATGTCAGTGTTTGCATCCTGTTGCTGATAGGTGCAAGGTGAGTCCTAGTCTGAGAGATGGTCATTCCCACCATGTCCCTTTAGCACACACTCATATATATGTGTGCAACTGTGCACACATAAACCACACGCACACACACCACACACATCTACACATCCGTGCTCCACTGACAAATCAAGGGGTCAGAACATCTTGTCCTCCTTTTGAATGGTATTGTCTCTCCTGAGAAGTAATGCCTTTGAGAGTACTTAGTACTTATCCATCCTCTCTTCCACAGAGAACATGGATGGAAGAATGGGATATAGCACAGTTTTCCCAAAATGGGAATATAAGAAGGAACTGAAAGTAAAGACAGGGCCTTTCTCCCATAAAGATATTGCTATACAGATTACCTGTCATTGTTTTGTTTTTGTTTTGCCATGTTTTTGTTTTGAGCCCAGAGGAACTCCACCACTAGGCTATATCCCCAGTCCTTTTGTTATTATTGTTGTTGCTATTTTAAGACAGGATCTCCCTAAGTTGCTCAAGCTGGCCTTGAATTTGCCATTCTCCTGATTAACATCCCAGGTAATTGAGATAACAGTGTCCACTACTGTAACCAGCCTTATATGGTTTTGACTGGGTACTAATGTTGGGGTTTAACAAGTCCTTTACAAAGTAGTCCAATGGCAAAATGTAGTATATGTGTGACCCATAGTCACACATATACATATATGTGTGACCCATAGATAGTTGAAGAAGCCAGTTAAATTAAAGTCCCCTTCTTTTTTACCTTTTGTCCTGCAGATTAACTTTTTGGTTTTTTAAAATTCTTACTTTTTCTGGTTCTTGGGAGGGGTTGATGAGTAGGCCTAATGTTTTTAGCCTGTTCATTTTTTTTCCTATTATTATTTACCCTACCCACTGTTTCCCCCACTCCTTAGGACACCACTTTCTTGATCCTGTGACAATTCTGTATAGTTTTTGTTGTCTCTGTTCTGGATTTATATTTTCCATAATATCATTTTAAATTTATATTTTTTATAAATGCTTATGTTTTCATGAATTTATTTTTGTCTTGCAGGAATTTTTTATGTCAAAGTTAACTGACATGAGAAGCTCAAGTGACTTATTGTCTTGATGGTCTGCCATAGAGCAAGTCTAATATCCACATAAAATTTAGCTTGTTTTGCTTTTATACTTGTAAAATTACAGTTATTCTGTACACATGACATACAAGAATGTAAAATTCTCAGAAACACTACAACAAAATTACTACTATCTAGCTTAAAAGAATCAAAATGTTTTGCTTATCATAATCCTTAAAAGTATGTAATGTTTTTCTCCTCAGTTAATATTTTAACAAATATTCCTTGATTCCTTTACTATATTTGATTAGCAGATACATTCGGCAAGCCATCAGGGAACATGAATATTCCAGCAATAAATTGGCCCAAAATATAAACAAAAGAGTCTTCCCTCTTTCCTTTATAAAGAAGCTATCATTAAAGCAGTGGTTCTCACACTTTAATGTGCCTAAGATTGACATGTGACCCTGACTAGCAATTCAGGTTCCTGGGGCCACTTCCTGAGAATCTGCTTCAGTAGTGCTTGGGCAGGACTCAGAAATCTGTTTTTACCAGACGTCCCAGGTGATTCTGATGCAGTATTCCACAGAGGACTCTTTGAGATAAACTGATAGGGCAGCAAGAAAAGTACTTTAAAGGGTAAAAGCCCTCTTACTAACTGAAGCTGCATTTTTTACTCAGAGGATCCAGACATACCCCTTCCTTTACTTGTTTCTAGAGGGGAAGGGAAAGTGGGTAAAGAAATGACCTGGGAGGGTGGTTTATGGACCTTGTGACTCAGTTGCTCCAAGGACTGCGACTAGATGACCAGATTGTGAACAATGGACTTCCAGTTCTACACAGTCTTGGAAGATATTTTCAAAGTTGTAAGTGCCATTCCAAATTCTCCAAGGAGTTAAATATTTTAAGTGGGGAAAGTATCAGTAGATATACTTTAAAGATCATCTTTCCTCTAAAGCAGGGGGTTTAGGAACTCTGTAGTTTCCTATGCTCCCACAGCACCCCTAAACCCTAGAAAGCCTGTTTTGAAACTATTTTCCATTTGTTAACCTTCTTAATTCGTCTCTTCTTTTCTCAGTTCTTCTTTTCTCAGTTTCTCTCTCTCTACTTCTCCCACCCCTGTTTTTCCTCTCCCACTCTTATCCTACCTTCTCTGTTTTTTTTTGGTTTTGTTTTTGTTTTTTGGTACTGGGAATTGAACCCAGGGGCACCTAACCAGCCACATCCCCAATCCTTTTTTAAAAATATTTTATTTAGAGACACATTATCTCTAAATTGTTGACGCTGGCTTTGAAGTTGAGTTCCTCCTGCCTCAGCCTCCTGAGCTGCTGAGATTACAGGTGTGTGCCACCACGCCTGGCTAATAGAGCATTTTATGTGGTCCGTTTTTCTCTCTTAGCATATCAATTAGACTTCTTTTAAAAATTTTCTCACTGGTTGTCCCAAAGTGTGCAATACACATTACAACTAATAATAGTCCTCTTTCAAAGAAGGTTATAAGCACCAGGCATGGTGGTACATGCCTGTAATTCCAGCAACTCAGGAGGCTAAAGCAGAAGGATCCCAAATTCAAGTCCAGCCTGGGCAATTTAGTGATTCCCCGTCCCAAAATAAAACATAGAAAAGGCAAATTTTAAAAAAGAAAAATTTGAAAGAAGCCAGGAAGAAAGGGGTAGGGCAATTTAATCTACAGAGGAACAAAGATAAGAATTACATTTGACTTCTCTTCAGAAACCATGCAAGCAAGAGAGTGTGGAGTAAAATATTTTAAGTATTCAAAGAATGTAGCTTAGTGGTAGAGCACCCCTGGGGTCAGTCTTCAGTATCAACTCTTATCCCTCTGCAAAAAAAAACCAAAACAAACACTATAGTATTTCTAGGTAGTACAAGTACCTATAACAGAGTATTACCAATCCTCCTTTATCACACTTTCCAATAAACTATAATCACTGAATAGTTTATTTTCCAATAAACTATAATCACTGAATACGTTTTTATCATTATTTTGAGCAAATTTTTATCTGTTAGAGCAATTGGAAATAAGAAAAATAAAATTTATTATTTACCTTCATATTCCTTCTCTATTAATCTTCTTTATATAGATCTGAGTTTCTGACATATAGATTTTTCTTTTCTCTGAAGAATGACTTTTCATGTTTTCTTGTAGGATATGTCTACTTGAGACAAATTCCTTCCATTTTTCTTTGCCTTAGAAAGGCTTCCTTTTTAAAGATAACTTCATAGGACAAAGAATTCTGGATCAGTGTTGTTTTTTTTTTTTTTCTTTCAACACTGAAAATATTTCACTCCACTCTCTTATCTGCATGGTTTCTGAAGAAAAGTCAAATGTAATCATGATCTTTTCTGCTGTGTGGGTTGAGCTGTCCCACTCCTTTCCTTCTGGCTTCTATCAAGATTTTCTCTTTGTCTTTGATTTTCTTAAGTTTGAATATTACATAAATAGGTGTAGATTTGGGGGCATTTATCCAGCGTGGTATTCTTCGAACGTCCTGGATCTGTTTTGTTGTCTATCATTAATGTTGGGAAATTTTGCCATTATTCTTCTAATAGTTCTTGTTTGTTTTCTTTTCCTTCTGGTATTTCCATGACAAACATTGACACCTTTTCTTATTGTGCCACAGTTCTTAAATATTCTTTTCTTTTTAATCCATCTTTCTCTTGCATATCAGTTTTGGAAGCTTCTGTTGAGCACCTAAAGCTCATGATTCTTTCCTCAAGTGAATTCGGTCTATTGATGAGTTCATCAAAGGCATTCTTCATTTATGTCATAGTGTGTGTTTTTTTATTTCTAGCATTTCCATGAGTGATTTTTTTTTCGTTGGACTTCTCTGTGCTACAGTACTCATCTGTTCTTGCATATTGCCAATTTTTGAAAAAAAATTAGAACTCTTACCATATTAATCATGGTCATTTTAGATTTCCTACTCTGAGAATGTCAATACCTCTGCCATAGCTGAGTCTGGCTCTGGTGCTTGCTCTCTTCAGACTGCATTTTGCCTTTTCACATGCCTTGTCATTTTCTGTTGAAAGTAAGACATGATGTATTAGGTGAAAGGAACTGGGGTGGATTAGCCTTTAGTGTGAGGTTCATGTTCAGCTGGCCAATGATATGAACTTACTGTGTTGTTAGAGCTTGAAATTTCCTCTTTGCCCTTGTGTCTTGTTTCCTTGTTGTGTTTGGGTTTTCCTAAAGACTAAATAGTGCCTCAGCCTTGACATTCTTGAAATTGGTCCCTATTAATGTGGTAGTGAGGGAACATATTGTAGTCCCATGATTAGATCTCAGTGTTTTATGAGCCTGAGTTGGGTATTTCCCCTTCCCAGTTTGTTTGGGCTTTGATAAAACCCTCCTCTGTTGGGGTCTTGTCAGATTGTCTCCCTAGAGGGCAAGCCTTGTAAAGAACAGCACACTCGGGGTATATTTCAAAATGATGACTCTAGTCCTCTCCTACCAGAAGCAAGAGGAGATTTTTCTCTGGTCTTCTCAGGAAAACATGGTAAAACTTCTAGAGATAAAACTCAAGGAAATTTGGGGGCTCCCCTAAGTCTGGACCCTTGAGACTTTTTTTTTTTTTTTTTTTTAACTCTCAAGCTAGTCTGCAGTAAGCCTTGAGCAATTCATCAGTTCCAGCCTCACTGTTCCTACTGAGGCTGGTTCTAGCTGCAGGCTTCTGCTCCTGATGAGCTTTC